AAAATTAAAAAATAAACAATACACAAATGGTTTTGGTCATTTGGGTGTCCATGGTTTGTCCATTTGGACATGGGCTTTAGTGGTCTTGGGCACTTTTTGGACCACTGTCCAATATGGACCACCCATTACTGCCCAAAAACTGAAATGGTCTAAATGGTCAAGCCCAAATGGGCTCTGGGCGGCCCATTTGACAGCTCTAAGTAAAAGTCTCATGAAGATTAATGTCTCAGTGTTTCTAAAATTGAACCGAAATTTTTTTTATATGTTGTTGTAGGCATGGAGCTGGCTCTGTCACTGGAGAAATTGGTTAACGAGAAGCTCTTAAACCTCCACAGTGTAAATAACAATCTCTCTGCTTTAATTCATCCTCGAGTTCTATAATCTTGTGTTTGACTGAGTGCAATCTAATTTTCTCCTCTATAAGAACTATTATCAATCTTGTAATGATTTTTGTTCAACAGGTTGCTTCCAAGAACGGGGATGTTCACTTGGCAGATTTTATTGAGAGCGAGTTTCTGACCGAGCAGGTAAAATGATTTAGTGTTCTATGTTAGTGGCAAAGATATGCTTTTGGTTTCTAAGCTGTAATTTACATTTCTTAAGGTGGAAGCAATCAAGAAAATCTCAGAGTATGTAGCTCAACTAAGAAGAGTTGGCAAAGGACACGGTAATCATAATAACCTCTCTCGTTTTGTTTGTATACATCACATATTCATCCTGCACTTTGTGCTTAGTTTCGGTTCTAATTTTTTTTTCTTTCGAATGTTTGTGGGTGATCTTCAGGGACATGGCATTTCAATCAGATGCTTCTGGAACAGTAAGCTACTTCAAGGTATTAAGGTCGTGTGCACTCTTATGGTGTATGCTTTTAGCAATGTATCAACTCAACTAGTTTGTGAGTTAGTTCTGCAGCTTTTGTGATGTAGACTGTTTTATTTTGATTTTGCAAGAGACAAGAGATGTGACTTTGAATTCAGTTGTATGAATGAGTTTTCCGAACCCATGGTGACTGATTCTATCTACATTTTAAAGTCTGAACAAAAAAAAATTCCAAGACCGGTTCAAATCTGAAATGAAATTGAAGTTTTGGTTTAAACCCAAACTTATCATCCAACAACAGCAAAAAGCTCGACCCAAACTCTACAATATGGGCCTTTTAGATATTTGGCCCATCTAAAACATTTTTCCGCAAAAAAACATAAAACGTCACCGTTTACTTCCCGTCTCTGACATTAGTCTGCGAATTTGCGTTTTGTTCCCTTATCCCAACCAGATTCCTCCGTCGCTCAAAACCCTAATCCTCTCCGCCTCACACCTCTCTCATACACACACAAACGCTTCCAAAACACACACAAACCCATCAACCATGGCGAGCCAAACCCCGAATCTAGAGTGCCGAATGTACGAAGCAAAGTACCCAGAGGTGGACATGGCGGTGATGATCCAAGTCAAAAACATCGCAGACATGGGAGCCTACGTGTCCCTCCTCGAGTACAACAACATCGAAGGCATGATCCTCTTCTCCGAGCTCTCCCGCCGTCGGATCCGAAGTGTGAGCAGCTTGATCAAGGTCGGGAGGATCGAGCCGGTGATGGTTCTCCGCGTGGATAAGGAGAAGGGTTACATTGATCTGAGTAAACGTAGGGTTAGCGAGGAAGATATTCAGACTTGTGAAGAGAGGTATAACAAGAGCAAGCTTGTTCATTCCATCATGCGTCATGTTGCTGAGACTCTTTCTATTGATTTGGAGGTAAAATGAAAAGATCGGATCTTTATATGTAAAGTTGCTTCCTTTGTGTAATTAGAGTAGGTGCGTTGAGTTTGAGTGGATAAAAATCGAATCTTTAGTGATGTTGGTTATGGAGATTATGTATGTGTAAAGTAGCTACCTTTGTGTAATCATAGTAGCTTACCTTTGGGTAAGTAAAAATCGAATCTTTAATGATTTTGGTTATGCAAATCACGTATCTAGTGTAAAGTAGTTACCTTTGGGTAGTCATAGTAGCTTGCGTTGAGTTTGAGTAAATAAAAATTGAATCTTTAGTGATATTGGTTATGAATATTATTTATCTTGTGTAAAGTAGCTACCTTTGTGTACTCATAGAAACTACATTGATTTGAGTAAAAAAAAGTTGAATCTTTAGTGATATTGATTTGAATATAGTGTAAAGTAGCTACCTTTGTATTACATTGATTTGAGTTTTGCTATTGCAGGAGTTGTATGTGAACATTGGTTGGCCTTTGTACCGGAAACATGGTCATGCTTTTGAGGTGAGAGTTTGTTGATTGAGCTTTTATTGTATTCTTGTAGATACTTTTTACTTAAAGATTTTGTTGTTGTTCAGGCCTTCAAGATCTTAGTGACTGATCCTGATTCTGTGTTGGGTTCACTCACACGTGAGATCAAAGAAGTTGGACCTGATGGGCAGGAGGTATGTACTTAGTTCTCTGGTTTTAGAAACTTCATTGGGTGCTAATCTTGGGATATTTCTGTTTGTAGGTGACTAAAGTTGTACCTGCTGTTACGGAAGAAGTGAAAGATGCACTTGTGAAGAACATTAGGAGGAGAATGACACCACAACCGATGAAAATCCGTGCTGATATCGAGTTGAAGTGTTTTCAGTTTGATGGAGTTGTTCACATCAAGGTCGTAAACCATCTAATAACATATGGAAATGACACATCAATTGATTTCATTTGGTTTTTAATACATAATACTTTCAACTTCAGGAGGCCATGAGAAAGGCTGAAGCTGCTGGAAATGAAGACTGTCCTGTGAAGATTAAGTTGGTTGCTCCACCTCTGTATGTGCTTACCACTCAGACTCTTGACAAGGTTAGACAATCTCCTATCTTAACATGATAAAACTTAATTTCTAGGCTTCTCAGTGTCTTAATAACATATTAAACAGGACCAAGGGATTGAAATTCTAACTAAAGCCATAGCAGCTTGCACTGAGACAATTGATACACACAAAGGCAAGCTCGTCGTTAAGGAGGCACCTAGAGCTGTGAGGATCTTCTTTCCTCTTCTTTAATTGTTCAAGAACTAGGTTTCTTTTAGTTGTAGAGTTTTAAGTTATTTATTTATCTGTTTGGCAGGTGAGTGAAAGAGATGATAAGATGCTGACAGAGCACATGGCTAAGCTAAGAATGGACAATGAAGAAATCAGCGGCGATGAAGAAAGCGGTGAAGAAGAAGAGGACACAGGTATGGGTGAAGTTGACATCGATGGGGCCGGAATCATTGAGTAGAATTGGTTTGTCAGTTTTCCGACCAAGTTTCTGTCTATTTGCTCGACCAATCTTGACCACTTTTTGCTTTAAAGTAGAAAACTTCTGAGAAGTTTTGTTGTTTTCACCCGTTGATGGGGTTTACTCATAATTTTATAAAGATCGACTATTTTTGCATTTAGACATTGTGTCTTTTAATGAAGACATACACTTGAGTTTAAACATGATTAGATTTGGCTATGTTAAGTGTTGATAATCATCAATATACCAGAGTTAAATCAGAATTGATCCCTTACAAGATGCAGATAATCTATTATATGAGATCTTAGACTGAGCCTGATAGATTCAAGATTTAAAACTTTACCGTCTTGAAGTGTAAATGAGCTATAATAGTTACATAACTTAGGTAACTGTATGATAAAAGAAGAAATATTCAGAATGCAACTGTGGTGTTAAAAAAATAATCACTGGAACTGTTTTTGGATACATAAAATTTGAGATTCTATGGGCATTTATCCAAGCGTAAGAGAAAAGAAAAGCAAGTTGTTCAGGTTAGCCAAAAAGTTTGACGTTAAGCCTATTTTAATTGTTCTTCATCTTTTCAAGAAGAAAAAAAATAATATATGTTTTTATATTGGTTTCCATGACATTAGAACATGAAAATGTTGAGAAGAATAAATACATTAGAATATGAAAGTAAAGAAATATAGTTATAAAGAATCGTGGGGTTTGCTTGCTGACTAGTGACCAAACAAAGAGGATCCCACATGGTTTTAAGAATTGGAGGACGAAGAAAGCAACAGCTAAGCAGCCTTCACATTGAATTAGTCATAATCTCCTCTCCTCCACATAATTAAGATGACATATCGTTCCTTCAACTTCAATCATTCTTAACATATCTTCACACCAAATTTACGTGGCATTTTCTATTTTGTATGCCTTGGTTGAATTTTATAACCATTTGTTACGCCACAAGTCCTTTTTGATGGCAACTGGCTAATCGGGAGTTTCCTTGTGAACCCTTTTACTACTCTGCCAGACTGCCACTACATTCTTTGAGACTAATTTGTTGAACATTAAATGTGTTTTTCTGGAAAAGTTTGATTTTATGAAAACACGATAGAAATTTAGAAAAATAAGTCTTAGTATTTGGTAGTCATTGACGTTATGTACCCGTTGGGGGTTAAGATCAGGATTTTAGATTTTCAAATTCAGTTTTCTAAACCTCATTCGGATTTTATATATGGTTTAGTTGAGGATGATATAACTTTGCATAACATCAAATTTGGCTATATTTATATAACTTTGCATAAGATCTATTTTGGATCTGAATTCATTTTAGATTCAGTTAATAATACATTGTATTTAATATTTTTAGATATATATCAAATAAACATTAAATTAAATATTTAACTTTGTATTAATTACTTATATTGAATACTATTTTAGTTGGATTGGATTATTTTGAGTTTTTTTTGTAATTTGGACTTTAGATTATTTTTTTTTTTGTAAAAAGAGAATTAAATCTGGGTTTATTAAGATACAAACTTAATTTCCGGATAAGAAATATAATCCACGGATAGACTTTTTCTAACATATTTAAATAGATTGTAAGCAATATATTCATATCCGTGTGGTCAAATATGAAGTTAATAATTTTGCACTAGATAAAAATCATTCCTGGACCAACAAAGCAATATTTCTATATCTAACTCATTCCAATATTTTTTTTATGATTCATTTTAATGTTTTTATATTTTGAATCATATATGGATTTGGGTGTTTTAGTTTGGTTCGAGTTTTCCCCAAAGAGTTACCATTTGGTTCGTTTAAATTGTTGTGTTTTTTTTTTTTTTTTTCTGTATTGGAAAGGTGTGTATAAGTACAACTTGTTATCGTTGACCAAATACTCCTTCTTTTTACGTATAGATTCGTTTCCTTATTGGCCTTAACAAGGCGCAACGCGTTTTCCATCCAAAAAAATGAATAAGTCTTTATACTTCGTATCTTCTCTTCTCATTAATCTGTGTTTTCGTCAACCTTCCTCCTGTTTTCTTGATACTCTGCTCCTAAAATCTCTAAACATTCAGATCCAACCTCGATACTTTTATCATCTTATTGCATCATCCTGTTCAACTCTCACGTTCTTACTCTCTCCATGAATGAGAAACGGAGATCCATCTTTAGTTCGATGTTCAAAAGGCCTTCTCTAGTGGCTTTTGTGGTCTTTCTCAGCTTCAGTTCATGTTGTTCGCTTAAGGAAGAAGGTAACATCAAGCTTTCTTGCATGTTTTGTCTGAATAAGTTCCCTGAGAATATGTTTTCATCCTCCTCTGTTTTTGCTTTGCGTGTTTTTTTAGGTTTAGATAAAGATAGACTGGAGAAAGATCTATGGTCTGATGAAGATTCTGCGATTATGTAAGTTCATTTATCTCAAGTCTTGTTTGGTATAACAACAACAACTTGAACTTGTAGTAGGTGGTTTGTTGGTTGGTAGATCTATTGTTTCTCTTGTCATTCCATAACTCGAGTGAACACACACTCTATGTATCTTATGTAGAAGTAAACTGTTATTAGTTACTAGTAAGTATTATTATTAATCTTTGCTAAATATTGTGAACAAACTCATTCTTGAAGTAAATATCATTTATAAGATTTTAGTATTGATTATGTTAATAAATAATTTACAAGCTTTTAAATCCATATTTATACAATCTCAAAACCCAATATTTCATTTTCTCTCAATTTTTTAAATCAAAAATGATTTTCATAGTCCTAAAACATATATGTATCGCAGAGGCTTTCTTATCTCTTAGATGTCAATCAAGATTTAAGTTACTTTTAGAATCAACACTAAACATGTTGTGATGATATTAATCATTTTGATCTTAAGTTGTTAGATCATGTTGCAATGACAGTAACTTATTTTTGTTTTTTTTTCTACTTGCTGTAGGAAAGCAGTTGGGTTTCACAGGAAAGCACTTATACCTCGTGACGCATTAACATATGACAGCTTGCCTTCAAGAAGAAACAGCCGTGAGGCTCCTGCTGCAACTATCACACCACCATCATCTCCACAACCTTCTCAAAACAATATTACAACCAAATCTTCGGATCCAGGAACTACACATGATCTTTCTCCTTCTCCTTCACCTCCTCCTCCTCCTCCTCCTCCTCCTACTACGTTTGTGCCTCTTGCAAACTCCCCCACTCCAAAAAGGTCTGGTTCTTCTTCAGTGGTTGTTCCTGTAGTTGTTACTTGCGGATGCAGTGTTGTTCTCCTCCTCCTTGTAGCTACCGGTGTGTTCTACTTCAGAAATAAAGTAGGGAAGGCAGTGAATCCATGGCGTACAGGTCTTAGTGGACAACTTCAGAAAGTGTTTGTAACTGGTAATATTCTTTCTCATTTGTCAAATTATGCACTTAACTTCAGAATGTTTTCTCAACTAATGAGTGTTTTTTGGCTTACTTAGGTGTCCCAATTCTCAAAAGAGCTGAGATTGAAGCTGCATGTGAAGATTTTAGTAATGTCCTTGGATCATGTCCTATTGGGAAACTGTTTAAAGGAACACTATCAAGTGGAGTTGAGATAGCTGTTGCTTCTATTGAGACTACTAGTGCCAAAGACTGGAAAGACAATGCAGAGATTCAGTTTATGAAGAAGGTATGTTATATTTGTTATGCTTTTTCAATGTCTATGACTATGACCATATTAGTCCAAGAATATCATTTTTGGTTTCATATTTTTGTAGATTGAAATGTTATCCAAGATAAACCACAAGAACTTTGTAAACCTTCTTGGATACTGTGAAGAAAATGAACCTTTCACCAGGATCTTGATCTTTGAATATGCACCAAACGGTTCACTCTCTGAACATCTACACTGTGAGTAACACATGTCATAAGCCACATTAATGTCCCATGATGGTTCATTATGATCTAAATGAGAAGCTAATCTTTTGTTATATGTTGTTTGTTGTAGGTAAAGAATCAGAAAACTTGGATTGGGGAATGAGGTTAAGAATCTTAATGGGTTTAGCATATTGCCTTGACCATATGCACCAACTAAATCCACCAATAGCTCACACAAACCTCGTCTCATCATCACTTCATCTCACAGAAGACTATGCTGTAAAGCTAGCCGATTTCACTTTTGGTCCATCTGAAACAGAAACGTGCAACAACACCAAAGACACAGACACTGAAGACAACGTTTACAGCTTTGGTTTACTATTATTCGAAATGATAACCGGAAAACTTGTGGAATCGGTTAACAGACCTGACTCAGTAGATACAGGGCTAGTTGATTTCTTGAGAGGAGAGAGTCTAGCCAATATGGTGGATCCAGCACTGGAGTCTTATGATGACAAGATTGAGAATATAGGTGAAGTGATCAAGTCATGCATCAGGACTGATCCTAAAGAGAGACCTACAATGAAAGAAGTCACCGGGTGGCTACGGGAGATTACAGGAATCTCGCCAAGTAATGCTACACCGTCACTATCACCTCTTTGGTGGGCAGAGTTAGAGGTTTTGTCTATGGCGTAAGAGACACCAACAAGAGATGTAAGTATGTTGAAAGATGTGTGAGTTTTTGTTAAGTGTAATTTGTAGTTTAACTACACAAAGTGATAAAAAAACAAAACTGAAGGTGGGCTTCAGTTCAAGTTTCAAGCGAATCTATAATTAGTGTATATACTGAAGTTATAAAATGAACATGAAAAGTTTGTTTTAAATAAGATCATTTTACATAAAAGAAGACAGAAACAAGCATTGCTAACTTAAACATAACAAGAACAGATTACAAAGTCACTTGTCATCGATCCAACATCTAGCTTCGAGACACAAGTGTCCTGTTCTTCCATCACTTGTTTTTCTTACAATGCCTCTGCACCAGGGACCTCCACGAACCTTGAAAATCATGTAGAAGATTGCGTTTCTCGACTTAAGCTTCATACTTGACTCTACATCTTCCTTTGTTTGTACCATTACTTTCTTCATCTCAAATGGCGTATAATCACTCTACAAGATAGACAAGACAACCATCAATTAAATAAACAGATCATTGTTGAGGAAAATAGAGTCTCCTAACCATTTCAGAGCGCCATTCGGAGAACAATGCAGCTTCAGCATATAGATAAAGCCATTCATTGTCTAGCAACTCAGATTCTTTCACCTAACAAGAGAAGAAAGCCAATCTTGTTAACAAAAAAAAAAAAGATGAGTGGAAACTGAGAGAGTAGTTTCACACCTTATAAAGGTGTGGGTTATCAAAACCATCATTGAAAGGCCAATCAGGCATATCAGTTTTATAGAAGTCATCTATAGCCTTAAAATCCCAAAAGACAGTTGCATCTCCAAGGCCTATGCACATGAATGATGAGTAATATAATTTAGACATATACAATTGATTAATGCAACAATATAATATGTAAAAACTACCTGGTACTTGAGGCTTGATTCTGCATATTTTTGTCAATAGTTTCAAGCTTGCCTTCTTCTCCTTGCCTGCATCATTGACCAAGGTTTGGAAAATGTGTAGGGAGTTGTCTACAGGATCTATCACCTCTGATGTTGAATACGAGTTGTAAAGTGAAGAGATTTCCGCGTTCACTTTAACTACTCTCTTCAGCTGTAACTTCTTCCCCTAATTAAAACAATACAAGGTCAAAACTTTTCACACATTGTAATAAATAATAGGGATATATATATAAGAAAAAAAAGAAAGAAGCAATGTACCTTTTCAAGATTGTGACAATGGAGTCCTGCCTTAGCAAAGAGAGTGTCGTACTGAGTACATCCGCTGGGAACTATCCCATTGAATATATGATTAAAGAAGTCAACATCGAACCCCTACCACAATTTTTAAAAAAAGACTTTTGGTTATGAATTCAACAGAGAGATTAAAAGGGTTACTTACACAAGACTCCACAACTTGGAGACGATACTTTTCTCGTTCGACCGGATCCATGTCTTCGTCCGAGGAATAAGCTTCTTCTTCTTGTTCTTCTTCTTCCACGGGTGAAGGTGGTTCGAGCTTTCGCTTACGAAGAGGAGGTTCTTGAAACCACAGATTAGCTTCATCCAACATCACATCATACATATCTCTTCGTGTCTTTCTGAGTTTAGCTCAACCTGTTTCTTCTTACACAATTGCGGACGGACAATAACTGATTCTACTTTTTCTTTAAGGGTTTTTTAAGGAGTATTTGCACTCCATACACTAAACCTCATAATTCACTCCATACCCTATTTCTTCATTCTCTCCTCCTCACACATTACTATTTTTCCCACAAAAAATGGCAAATGCCCTAATTTCCTATTTTCTTATGGATTTCTACCCAATTCACTCATTTTTAAGTCTGGAGTTATTGTCTTTTTTTTTTACCACTTAAAACTTTATTTTTACAATAATCTAGAGATTGAATGTGTTAAATTTTACATTTTTATAAATTAATATTTTTCTTCATAATTTAAGTTATATAACTTATATATGTTATCATATAATTAATTGAATAATTCTAAGTCCTATACATTATAATGAATCTGAGTCAAATAAAGTAGTATGGTTATGTTTAGTTTGGATTCAAAATATCTGAATCAAATTAGTTAATATGATTATTTGAGATACAAATAGTCGAATATGTTTCGAATATATTAATTTTTAGGATATTTTAAAATTTTCATACGTTAAAACTGAATTCATATGGATTTTATATTTAGATAAGACAATAAATAAAATGATTACAATAAATAAAGTGATTATTATTAAGTATAACTAAAAATGAATATTTAGAAAAGACAATAAATATAAAATGATTAGAATTAATTAAAATATAATGAAAAATTGTAAAAAAAATCACTTTTTTGTCAACATGTAAAAAAATCACTTAAAATAGATAAATATTATTTTATATTTCTGTTTTAATAGAATAATTTACTTTAAATTTCAAATCACAACCTATAGATATTAGGAGGGCTCGATTCTTAGAAATACTTGACATCAGAATCTTTTAAATAGCCAATGTCAAAAATGCATCTAAATCTTAGAAATGCTTAACCTTTCACTAGAATCTTAATCTTTGAATATGCTCCGATCCAAACGGACTACTACACATTTGCAGTGTTAGTAACCCACAATGTTAAAAAAAAAAAAAAAAAAAAAAAAAAAAAAATTTAACCCACAATGTTCCATGTTGGCTCATTGTTTTTGTGGCTCTAGACATTGTTGGCGTTCCCGTTCCACTAGGCCCATCATATCTCTTCTTCCGTCTTCCGAATATAGTATTGGTCATATTTCTGATTGCATCAGAGATAAGGAGACGAACACATGGCCTTTTGTGATCACAACATGTTTTCATGTTTGCGCAGAAGTATGTAGTTTCATATAAAATGTCACTATAATTAGTGTATATATATTGGAGTTATAGATGAACATGCAAGACGTTGTGATGTTTGATCTTTCCGATTTCGCGCTCAACGTAGGAAAACAATATGTCTACTGTCTAGTTCCACAACAAGGGATTTTCTAGTTCTAAGTTATTGTTTTGCTGCATATTTTCATCGCTCTACTTTATTTTCATCTAACTATCCCTATTATTTTCATAATTCCTATTACAGTGAAACTTCTATAAATTAATAATGTTAAGATTACACTAAAACTATAATTTTTTATTAATTTATAGAAATTATTAATCTATCGATATAGTAATTAAACCAAAATTTAATTTGTAAGTATAAAATTAAATTATTTTATAGAAATTTTTAATATATATTAATTTATAAAATATTAATTTCAAGAGATTATATTGTACTTTATTTTTTTAATTCTTCATCGAAACATCCATTTACTTTATACTTCTTCGTGAGTAGACCCCAATACTATTACTTATTCAGCATGAAACTTAACTATTTGGTGAATTTCTGAAAGATCGTCCAGACCAAAAAAAAAGAAGAAGTATTTATGAGATATTTTTTTGAGTGATTTAGCTCAAAATATCAAAAATATGTAGATATTTAGAGATTTGTCATATTTTAGGGGGGAATTAGTGATGTGGAGAAGGAAAGAGAAGAGAGAAATAGGGTATGAAGTTAAATAAAGTGTTTTGTGTGTGTATGAAATGTAAATACTCTAATTTTTTACGCTCCATGTGACAATTTGAGATATTAAGTTAAATGATCCCAAATTAATTTTAAATTGTATTCGCAGCTAATACATATGAAATTCCCATTTTTATAAGTCGACAAGCAACCTACATTCCACGAAAACGCCTTTTCCCAAGAAGAGGTCCAAACTTTTTCTCAAAAAAAATAGAGGTCCAAATTTTATTCGTTTCTATAATTAAAAGAATTCAACACGACTTTTGTCATCATGGAATATAATAATATCAGACCAAAAATGATATAATAGTGACTCAATATATATAATATTGCAATTGTAGTTTCAACACCTAAACTATTGGGCCATACTGATTGATTACTTAGCTGCAGTGGCTATTTCATGCAAACCCATGCATAATACGTACAAATCCCATATGTTTTTATATTCCTCTCCTCCATGTTATTCTTTTCCATTAAAATATTTTTTGGTTCACACATCGTATAATTTAAAGTATATGTATAGACACACATTATTGAAGTATTTATATGACATAAACTACTGGAATTTTCTTCGGTCTAGTGTATACCATTGTTTCTACAATCTCAGAAGATCTTTAGTCCAAACTCTACATGATTCAAAAGATTTTAGGTTCCTAAACTGAGTTGTCTACAATTTTTTTTTGTCATAGGTTCCGAAAGTTGAAAAGGTTGAGAGATTCCATAAAACACAAAACACGAAGACTTTGATCAACGCTAACATATATACTGATTCATATATGTGTCGGGGAGAATGAATTTTAGTGTATTGGTCAACATTCAACGGCTTATAATTTATTTTATATTAAAGCCGTAATTGATAGTATTACTTAGCATTTGGTATATGTTGGATCGTTTAATTCCTCATGGGTTGTCTGAGGATGGATGTAGCTAGGATTGCATAGGGTAGATATGAAGAACGTTATTCTAACGTAAATAATTATTTGTGGAACCTATAAAACCGAAATACGACATTTTTAATTCTTACTAAGAATTAATAACGACGACGAAAGGTATGATTACGGCTGGACATTGTTGGGCTTCTAAAAAAGATTTTGAAAATTGAACGAAATGCCATATACCTAATTTATTTGACCGATGACTTCTGCATTATATCTCATCTGGTCACCATTCACGAATTTTGACACGGTACTTGCATGTCGTTTACACGAAAAGTTCTTCTGCTTTCGTTAGAGAATATATATATACAATTTTGTATATAGTATATTACAATTTATACTGTTGTAATATACAATGATCTGAGAAGATCTATCTGTACATATTTATACATCATTTAACATTTGGGTTTATTTCCTTCTTCTAGATTATGAAATGAGACCAGTATTCGTAAATAATTCTTTTTGTAAAAGCTAATTGCTACAAATATGCCAACTGTAATAAAAACAAAAAGACGTATTCCATGTATTTTACTTTAAAAATGTAAATAAAGTAAAAAAAAAAAAAATTAATTGAAGATTCGAGTTCTTAAGCTTATAACGTTCATTTTTCTGAATGTTTATATGAAATTTCTACTTTGGTTGGAATACTTAGTTAGACATCAAATAGTTTTGTATTTATTATTTACTAGGAACTCACCCCTGAATGCCAAAATCAATCGGTTGCGCGTGTGTGTACGTACATAATTGCTCGTTTAAGTCTAAAGTTCAATTCTGTGATACGGGAGAATTCATGTGATTTATCAGCTTAAACTGTGATGTTCAATATTCTTATAAAATAAAAACAAACTTATTTGGGTTACATATAGAAAAGAGAGATGTACATTTTACATGTATAGAGACAGAGATGCATGCATGTGTAGGTTTTATAGATAATATGAAATAGTAAGAGTTGTGGAGATGGAGACAAATCCGTGATTGTCGTTGGTGACAGAAACAAGTAGCAATATTTTCTTCTCGTGTCTCTCAGTGAAGACAGCCCAGCCGAGCACCTTTTAACTTCTGTCTGATTCCTCTCTCTCTCTCTCTCTCTCTCTCTCTCTCTCTCTCTCTCTCTCTCTCTCTCTCTCTCTCTCTCTCTCTCTCTCTCTCTCTCTCTCTCTCTCTCTCTCTCTCTCTCTCTCTCTCTCTCTCTCTCTCTCTCTCTCTCTCTCTCTCTCTCTCTTTCCTATCTCTCTCACACACACAAAGAAGTTGTGCTTTTGGGTTTTCTTTTTTCTGCTTCACAGCTTTGGCTTTGAAGTCACGAGCCCATCCCCCTAACCATCTCCTTTTATTTATTTCTTTGCTTTTTAGTCAATTTAATTTGTGAGTTGTAACGATATATATGGAAGAAGTTTCATTTATCTAATTAATGTGTATGCCTCATCAATGTTTCCTTCTTCCTACATTGTAAAACCTAGTTCGAACGGAACAAGAATATTAAATCAAATGAAAGCATATGTGACTCAATTCACTGGCAATTGGTTTTGAGACTAAAATTTGTAAACCCTCACAGCACGTCATCGTGAACCTAGATTTGAGTCGCCAAATGGTATTATCAACAGGTTGATCTCTATTTTAGGGAAAACATTTTAATGTTAACCACGGAAATGAAAACAATGGAATATTTGAAAAATTATAGCTACTCCTTAGAGTTTCTTTTCACTTCCATGTCACGAGATTTAAAATTGAAGGAATTGAATTAACAATTACTATCTCTGAAATTTGTTTTATTTTTTGTAACACTCTGAAATTTGATTTTAAAAATATTATTTTATGACTGAAGTAGCACAGTTAATGTTTAATAGAAGTAAAAGGACCCTTTTTGTCATGAGGTGTAAACTAGATCTATCTTTCTCTAAGATGTATAAAACTATAGAAAACATTATTGCAAAGAAAAACTATATGTTAAAATAGAATTTAGAATATCCGTTGTCATCACATACATATATTTCCATACATATGTAGAGTTGGAGAGAGAGACGCCAGAGAGAAAAAAATTGGAATGATGGATACAAGAGCATCCAAAAAGTCATACACATAGACCTTCAAAAGTCTTCACCTTAAATTCCTAACACATATATGTGTTGGTGTGTGACCTTTGATTGAACTTTGTCCAAAGAACCCCAAGATAGACCAAAAAGGTTCAAACTCCAAAACAAGCAACACAAAAACAGCCAAAGAGCTAGAGACCAAGATGACATCAAGCAGCCAAAGTTCTGAAAACTCCAAAACTTGTCCATCTAACAACTTCAAAGCAGCCACCAAGAAAGAAGACGACAAAGATGAAGAAGAAGAGGAAGAAGAAGAAGAGGAGGATGAAGAAGAGAGATCAGCAGATCAGAGCCCATCTAACAATAGCTATGTGGAAGAGAGTGGGAGCCACCACCATGATCATAACAATGATCAGATCAAGAAAAATGGTGGATCTGTGAGGCCATACAACCGTTCAAAGACTCCAAGGCTGCGGTGGACACCTGAGCTCCATCTCTGCTTTCTTCAAGCTGTGGAGAGACTGGGTGGACCAGATAGTTGAGTTTCTATTATATATATGAAAAAAAATATTCAAGATCATTATATATATCTACAACTTCTAGGGGTTTTTTGTTGATATTTATTCGGGGTTTCTTTGAATGACTATGTTGGGCAGGAGCAACACCGAAGCTTGTTCTTCAATTGATGAACGTCAAGGGGCTAAGTATTGCCCATGTCAAGAGCCATCTTCAGGTTTTGCAATCATATATTGTATATCTATCTATATCATTTAGATTTTGATCTAAATCTTCATATTTTGATCTAAATCTTCAGATGTACAGAAGCAAGAAGACTGATTACCTAAATCAAGGTAACTTGCCTTTTTAGGTCATGAGTTAGGGTTTCTTTTTTGGAATTTGATCATAGATCTTATTATTGAAATTGCAAATGATGTTGCAAATGATGTTGATCTTTTTTTCTTACCAAACTTCAGGAGATCAAGGATTTTCGTTTGAACATGGAGATGGTTACACTTACAACCTTAGCCAACTTCCAATGCTACAAAGTTTTGATCAAGGGCCTTCTACTAGTTTAGGGTATTTACAAAATCTTAAGCTTACAATTTCTACATATATATATATATATATACATATATGTTAAATTTTATTTATATATATATATACATATATGTTAAATTTTATTTATATATATATATATATATACATATATGTTAAATTTTATTTTTATATATAACTTGGAATGTGATTAGTAGATATGGTGGTGGTTCCTGGATCGACCATAGACGACAGGTCTACCGTAGCCCTTGGAGAGGCTTAACCACACGAGACAATACAAGAACAAGACAAACACTGTTTAGCTCACAGATTGGCGAGAGATTTCATGGAGTTAGCAAGAGTATTCTTGATGATAAGAATAAAACTATTTCGTTTCGAACCAATTCTCATGAAGCGGCTCATGCCAGCAATGGTATAGGTGAAGCTGTTCCAAGAAGTCATAGAAGTTTTCTTGAAGGTATGAGAACGTTTAACAAATCATGGGGACATAGCTTCTCCTCTAATCCTAATATCTCGGTCGCATCAAGACCACAAGATCATATTGCTATGACACAAAATTCTCATCAACGTGACAATCCTCGAGTGGGAGAAGAAACGGAGAATGATTTGAAGAGGAAAAGATTGTTATTATCTGGTGACAACAATAAGTCGAACCAAGATTTGGATCTAAGCTTGTCCCTTAAGGTACCTCCTACACACAACAACCTTGGAGAATGCTTCTTAGAAGAGGAAGAAAAAGAGCATGATGATCAAGAGGATAGCAAGCGGTTGTCTCTTTCATTATCCTCGTCGAGTTTACAACTCGGTCGAGCGATTAGGAAAGAAGAGCAAAATGATCATAAAAAGAGAAAGATATCGGTCTTGGCAAGTCCCCTTGATCTCACTTTATGAATATATACAGCAAAATATATATACGTATATTCTAAGTGAGATGTTGAGGTACTTGTTGGTGGAAAGACGGTTCTTTGTTGTTTATCATTCGTTGCATACTTGTGACAAGACCCATAACTAAGGTTATAATAGAGACGTTTATTTTGGTCCTTTTTCCCACATATTTTTTTCGAGATGTTAAATTCTTGTTTTAAGTATAAATGTTTTGTGATCGAGTTGTGAGCAAACACTTGTTTTATTCTGAATAGTAACCAAGAAATATATTAGCGAGTCTATACGGTTTTGAGAGTTACAAGACGTTGCACGTTGTCTTGGTTGTGTCTTGTTGTGAGACGTTGCAAATCTATGTTTAGTTCCCGTTGTTTCACTCACTCTCACACAACAAGTGGTCAATATTATGCTACCTAACATGGAGATCTAGTCGGGAAATATATACATCAACGTTAAATCTGTGGAGCTTATACATGCAATCGCCCATCTCTATTTGCATTTAGAGTATGAACCAAATTTGTTAATGTTATAACCAAAGTAATCACTTTAAAGTTATAGTTCATTCAACTGCAAAGTCCATTTTCTAATTTGGCATCACTCTTTTTAATAATTTCTGACAATACCATGCACTCTTTTAATATTAGAATGAAACCGTTTTTACAAACTTTGTTTCTTCTCTCATAAGACTTTCTTTAAGAAAAGTTTGGAGAGAAAGACAAGAAGACAGATGTACTTGACAGAGAGATGTGTCTTGATCTCCTCGATAGGCAACAAATTATTTGTAATTCGCATATAATCGTTTTCTTATCATCTCGGGCCTTGAATAAGATTTGGCCATATCGTATTCTATATTTGAGAATATTTACATATTTTTCAGGGAATCAAAACTATGGAAGATTTTTGTTGTTTTGTGTATACCTACATGTGTCTTTGTTGTATAAATATTCTTCCAAACCCTTAATAATTTGACAAATATATAATACATATACACCGTTAAGTCAAACATATTTGCAAACGTTAAAGATCATATTTTGCCTTTGGTGTTAATATTTTTCATCCTTGAATTTTATAATAATAGATTTTTCAAAATCTATTTCATTGATTTTAAAGTTTACAATGGTTTCACATCGATATTTCAGAGTCAAAACTACATTTGTGGCATAAACATAATAAAGGTTATATATTTTTCAATTCGACATTTAGCTGGATAAGAATGCTGTGGAGACAATGTTTGATGATGTCCATTTAATTACAACATTAAACTTAAAACCCGCAAATGATAAAAATAAATTAATTAGAGGAGAGGGAACAGCTTTTGTATAGCGTAAGTAGCAATGACCGAGTAAGCCTTTTGTGATGGATGCACAGAATCAAAGAACATATACTTTGAAACATCCTCACAAGTCCGAGACAATGGCTTGCATAGAGGTCCTGCTTCAAGCAACCCCGTCCCACAACAACCTTTTAATGTTTCTTCCAATCCTGAATTAAATTTACCAAATTAGAAAAAAACAATGCCAGATGTTTCATGTACCATAAAACATAGATTAGTTACCATATTTACGAGGATGTTTGATCATGTCAATTAGTGGAGTGTAGATGTCAAGGTAAAGAATTTTGGAGCCAGGAAGTCTCTGACTGAGGCGGAAGTTTAGCTTCTGTAGCTTTTGATTGTATAGCCGAGAATCAGTGTTCTGATTTTCCGTACATATCCGATGATGGAAAATGCGAGGGATAGTGACGGTACCAAGTGTTACTTGCACTGGAAGGCATCCAATTGGTGGTAGTCCAGCTACGGTAATTCTTCGTGCTCCTGCGTCGTGTAGTCTCTGTTAAGCAATAGAAAGATTTTGTAAAATACACGTTAGATATTTAGATGTTATAGCTGTTTTTGGATATCTAATTATCTATAATCTATGTATGTATGTATGTATCTAATCTTAGTCTCTTCTCTATGATCTGAGATGAGAGTATGATTAATAGCAGATAGTTTTGGGCCTGAGTGACCTAAATCTCAAGTAACAAACAAAACTAGGCCTATAAAATATTTGAGGAACAAACAACAAGTGCAAAATTTGGGCTAAGGCCCATTTAAAGTTTTTAAGTGTAGATGAAATTCATGACGTATGATTGAAAAGTTTATAACATTTCAACTTCGAATTTACTATTCACTATTCAGTAATCAATTAAATATTTAAAGCACGTGGTTTACTAAAATTAAAAATTATATCATTAGCTCTCTTGAACTTTTATAAATAAACGTTGGGAAATATTGAAATTGACAACACAACAGTATTTTTTTTTCTGAAACACCGACAACACAACAATAATTTAGCAATACATAATGAAAACTATAATATATACTGGAAACGTTTTATATACTTGTCCAGAAATAAGAATAGTAAAAAGTGTAAATGATTGTTGGATTAGAAGAATGCGTGGAGTAACTCTTAAGTAATTTAATGGGTGGGATCCATGCGAGTTGGTCATTTTATTTTTTAATATATACGCAATTCTATATAGATTAGTTTATGTGGTTATTTTCCTATGAGGCAGGATTAGTCTATAATCTAAAAACAAATTGAAACTCAAAAGTTGAACGTAGCTAAACCTGGATAAACGCTTCGACTTTGCTGAGTAGATAGTCTTGATAATCCGAAACGGAAATAAAGCTCCCAAGAACATGATCATACACATTATATATCATATCATTAGTCCCCGCACTAATCACAAACAAAGCGTTATTAATCACCCGATTAGTCTCCAAGTCTCCAACCACACTCTTCATCTTACCTACCGCCTCCTCAAAGTAACTCCATTGCTTGTCCATGGTTAATGTCAACGACATCATCGCCGTCCGGTCATCTAAACCACCTCCGGCCGAGGCAAAACTAACGCCAGTCAAAATGTCAACGGGTTTGACCGAAGGGTTGAGGTAAGCTGGTAAAGTGGGTTTGAGACCAAGAAAGGAGGCTATAAAGTCGGTGGCGAGTTTTCCATCGGAGAATCTTCCGGTGGAGAGCTTAGACGGGAAAGATCTGCCGTAAGGTGGATGGTTGCTCTGAAAAAGAGTGGGGATGTAGTTGTTGTTGCCGGAATCCACCGTGGAGTCGCCGAAGGCGTAAAGAGCCGTTATTGGTGGGGATGGTGATGCATTGATAGGGTTTAGTAGTTGGAGAAGAAGAAGAGTGAAGAATGTAAGTAGGATTGGTTTGTGATGATTAGGGTTCATGGTTTGGTTAGTGTGTGATATGTGATGAAAAAGAGAACCACATCGTCCAATTTATTAGAATTGCCAATACATGTATAAGATTTATCACATGGGGTCCAAAAAGTGTAGGAAGTTTAATTATGTTTTATCTAGTAATAAATGTTTCCATTCTCTAGTGTACTGCGAGTGCTATATGTGCAACTTTGTCATTGTGATTAAGTGAAACATTTAAATTAGCTTTTTTTATTAACCATGAGGAGTTTTAGGCTTTAGGCCTTAATTTCTATGCGTGGAACCAGTTTTGCTAATATCAACGACACATCGTAAAGCATTTTCTCTACTGAGTTTCGAATTAGAAACACAACAACACTAATGCATGCATTTAAACCAGTAGCTTAACATATCCTGTGGCGAAACATTTAAGATGATTTAAACTATTTTGTGGTTTAGTCGTTGAATGATTCTTCATTTTTTTTCACATGAAGGTGTTGGTTCGGGATCTCTACCCTTCACATCTAACTGCAGCTCACAAAACTATATGTTAGTTGTATTTCAAGTTATACGTAATTTATAAAATTAAATAGCATATGCCATTGCATATATCATAAACGCATATGCAGCCCAAGCGGTTTATGGATGGTCATATAGCATAGACAATTAAATGCCTTTACTACTTGTACATCACCACTTTAAGTTTGAACGCATATTAATAAGTAGAGCATATCAAAATTCAGAAAGGAATTATTTCTATTTACGTCTATAAAGATTAGAAAAGGACCGAAGATGACTCATAAATGGTGTGCAAAGAGATAGCTGGCGTGTAGCTGACGATGATAGCTAGCCTTTAATGCCCCCATTAACCATGTAACTAATATTTTATTCACTTGTGGCGAATCGCAAACTAGATTCCCTATTACTTTGGAATGTGAATGTCGGTAAAATTAGATTCCCTATTCTAGAAGTTATTTATGTCGATTTTGCTGGTTTTGAACCACCATTATGTGTGATGTAATCAACAAGCCATGATGATTACAGTATTCCAACATTAGTGGGAATAACATGACCATGTACGTGATGCGCGTGGTCAGAACTCATAATTTCCCTGTCTCGTTGATGGAGACGATCTTTAATGACTTCACGCGTCAAATGATTACGATTCGGTTAAAATATCATAAATAATCCGTATGGTCGTGTATACACCTTGTGAACGCAAAGCTATGTAGGTCGATCGGGGGATGCATTAAATTACTAGCGTATCAATTCATTCAGCAACATAATTTTAAGTAGACAATAAAGACGTGCTTTTGACTGATTTAAAATTTTAATTTCAATGGTTTGTTTCAGTATCTTTTTTGTTAAAGCCGCACATCTTACATGACTAGTCTATTACACTTGAGTTGAACGATGGATAATTGTACTATTAAGTTCTAAATCATCTCACTCTCAATACCAACTGAAAGAAGCAGATGTGTTGTAACAATATATATACTGAACTTGTACTATAAATGAAACCCTTGAGAGACTTATCGAAGTCATATTGTCTGTGAAATAACTTCAAACTGAAACCAGCGACACCACAAAGCAGACATGACTTAAAACAGAAATCTGCAGATGCAACAAATGAGAAGATGCTGATGCTATATCTTCACATTCACATGTTCTTCAACTTTGTTCCGTGGTCTAACGCTACTCATAAAAGGAGCTTATGGATCTAAATCCAATATCTAGCAGGTCCGACCCTGAGGGGAAGCTAAAGAAGCATGGGCTACCGGCTCTCAATAATACTATTTAAATTCGGTTAATTTTTAATAAAAAATATCTTTAATCTAGTGGTTGTAAAACATATATCTTAACAATTAGCATCCCGACTTCGAGTCTTAAATCGACCTTTTTTGCTCAGTTAGCTTGTGGCCTTGCAAAAGTCAGGACCGCTACTGATACCTAGCCCTCAGAGTCAGAGCCTAGTTACTCTCATTGCTGTTGATTCAATACTGAAACAGGTTATTTGGAGAATGGGTTTAATAAAATGGGCTTTTATGGTAGTAGCATAGACCCATTGTAAGAAATATGGCAGACTAATTAAATTAACACCGTTTATGTTTCTAAGGCTTTGACTTTCAAATGGGCTTTTCAAAAGCTAGGAAAGAGTTAGAGACAGGTGTGTGAGTGTAGCAGCAATACAAGGAAGATAATGATTAAGCGATATACCTAACCTGATACTA